TTTGGTTCAGATTAAGAACCGTGACAATTTGAGAGTCCTGAACTGTAGTAGACCTGCAAAACGAACAGAACGGGACTCATCGTCCCGGGGCGTTCGGGGACGTTTACAGCCCCTATTATTGTATTACTGTTATTACTGTGAAACAGGCCTTTGATAATCACGGATTACTGGTCGGTTACGATGCTAAACCTATAGGAGTGGGTTTGGGTCATGACAGAGTGGTATTAGAGCACGAGTTATACAGCACACACATGTCCAAATGAGCTATAGGATGTCCTAGAAAGTAAATTAGGGCATTGCATGAGCATGTATGAGTGTGTGTGGATATGTTATATGCATATGTGTTAACATAAATGTGAGAACCATCTTTCTTATGTTTGTTATTGCCATGGTTTATATAGTGCAATGGAGAATAAAAGAAACGTAGATGAAATTGAATCATCATATGCAAGAATTGCACGATTGGAAAGAATGGTAGAATTATTAACAAAATCATTGAGACAACAACAACAGAATCAATAGCTGCCACCTCCGCCTCTGCCACTGCTGCAAGTTGAATCAAACAACAATGACAATATCATCGCCCTAACACAAAAGTTTAACAAAATGAAACTACCAACATTCCAAGGAGGTCTTGAGCCACTGAAAGCCGAAGCATGGATATTAGAAACTGAAAAATTATTTGAAGTGTTTCCATGTTCTGAGGCACAAAAAGTGTTATTGGCTACTTTCACGTTACCAGAAGAGGCAAGACGATGGTGGACGCTCACTCTGGACAACAATGGTTCTATGACTTGGGCTTAATTCAAGGAGATATTCTATGACAAATATTTTTCCCAATGTGTTCGAGACTGTAAAGTATCTGAGTTTGAACAGTTGAAGCAGGGTACTATGTTTGTGGCTGAATATGAAGCTAAATTTACGGAGCTCGCTCGGTGTAGACGTCCTCGAACGTCCCGGGAGGGAATCCCGTTTTGTTCAATGGGCTTACTACAGTTCGGACTCAAATGTCACGGTTCTGAATCTGATCCCGCAAAGTGCGATGTGAGACCGATAAATCACCAAAGAGTCCAAATCCGGCAAATCATTTTGAAAAATAGATTTTTAGAAAGAAGTGCCAAACATGGACTGCTTTGCCAGATACAGAGTCACCACCTAAATATTTTATTTTGGGAGAATTTAGGAAACGTTGACTCGTGCCTAAGGCCATGTGTCCGTCATAACCAAAGTTGCCTCGGCTCGAGAACTTGAGTACGATTGGGGAAGGTCATTTCATGAGCACCCCCGCTCGCCCGATCAAGGATCGGCCTCTACTAACCATGATATCGAGTTTTGAAAACATTATGTGCCTTTATTCCGGTTATTAGCCTAGATTTACTATGTGATGCGCACAACATACAAGTATAGACTGGATCGTCTAAGTTAGAACAAAACATCTCATGTTTGTTTTTTTGAAAATGGTTTGAAGGTGCCACTCGCAAGTAGGCTAAGACGTGGATTTGCCACCCTCAGGTGGGCTTAAAAAAACATGATTTTGCCGCTCTCAAGTGGGCTTAAGGTAGAAGGGAGTCGAGCAGTCCTCGCTGAATCGGGCTTATTAATCTGCATACTTGGATTTTAGCTATGGGGCCACCACCGACAGAAAGCTAACTTCCGGGGCTTCATTTTTCACTCAAGAATCTCTTAAAGCCAAGTCCGGGTGGGGGAGATATGATCAGTTGAAGTTGGGCATCATCCCGGTTGGATTGAATCTGCGCGGTTTCACCAAAAAGGGCATAACTTTTTGCACAGGAGGAATTTTAATGCAAGGTTTGCGGCATTGAAAAGCTAACTTCTGGGGCTTCAATTTGGATGCCCATCGGCCATTTTTTGACCTTGGCAGCATCTATCGGCAATCTATTTAGCCGACCGGCAATTTATTGTGCCGACCGGCCATTTATTTTGGTCGACGACCTCCTTTTCTGGCCGGTTTGACCTTTTTGCACCTTCCAGGCAAGGTGCATGCCAGCTGTGCCATCTGGGATGCACAGACCCTGCTTCCCGTGCATATATGTGGCTATATTGCCCCTTTAACCACCTTTGACCCCTCTTTTTGCACCTTTTGCTCAAGGCTTCTTGAGGAAGCTTTGATCCCTTGTCTTGGCTTCCTCAAGAAGCTTGGCCAGCTGTCTTAGCTTCCTCTAGAAGCCTTGACCTCCCTTGCTCCTTTTGTCCCTTTTACTTAGCTTCTTTGAGAAGCTTAAACCATTTCCCTTTGCCTATATAAGAAACCCATCCTCCTCCATTGTTTTGGTTCAGCAAAAAACCACACCAAGGGCACATATATCTGATATATATACCCTCTCTCTACATATCTCCCTCTCTCTCATCCTTTGTTTGTGTTTAAGAGCCTTAAAGTGTGTTTTGACCATAGTATTGCACCAACACACACACCATTACACCACACTTCGACTTGAGAGGCCTTGAGGGTTTGTTCTTGGAGTTTTAAGCTGGTTTTGACCACAAGAAGAGGTCTGACCTTGATATTCATCAAAGGTTCTTCAAGGGTAACTTCTTTGCTTTAGTTTCCCCATTTTTGCACACACTTTTAGCCTATCTTGATTTCTGATTTAAGCTTTGTGTACAACTGAAAAAAGTCTAGTTTTTAGCTCCTTTTTAAGTTTGTTCAAGAACACTTTTGTGTTTGGGGTTGTTTGACCCCTCTTAGGCCTTGTTTGGCCTCATTTTTGTGCATTTTTAGTGAGCTCCGGGACCACCTTGTTTGGGCCTCCTCACCACTGAAATCCCTCAAGATTTCAGTGGTGAGGATGGTGGTTTGAGGTCCTAAGAAGGAGAGGGCCATCCCCTCTCCATGTTGTCTTGTTTGATGCCTTTTTTGGCCTTACAAAGGGGCCTATATTTGCACACTTCTTGAGCTCAGTTCAGGCATTTTTTAGTGGGTTTTAGGACCCCCATAAGCCATTTCCAGAGTTGGTTTGGTCTTGCTAAATGTCTATCTTGCATGTGCTTAATAACTCCTTGGATGACCCTCTAAAGTAACTCATCATTTTTGCATGCCATGATTGCATATCAGTGGTTATTTGGGCCTATTTTCACATGTTTTATTCACTGATTTTCGATGGTTTGGTGAGATTCCATGTGCATCATATACTTTCCATACAACCCATGTTTGCTAGTCAAAGTTGCATGCTCTTTTAGTCCATCTTGATAACATCTTTTGGCCATGCTTTGAACTGGAAATATGCATGTTTTGGGACTGTCTTGCATCTGTCTTCATGCTTCATGATCAAATAATCCATGCTTTGTATAGCTATAGGCCAATGCGTATGCCTAGTTTTGCGTTTCGGGGCCATTCCATGCATCGGGTGCCATGTTTCCATGATTCAGGGCTATTTTGTATCACATTTCAATGCTGGAATTACATGCTTGTATGCCATATTTCATGCCTTGCCATGCCTTGTTAGAGTTGCACACTATGCCTTAGGTTTGGTCCTCGGTTTGCGTGCATGCGTGCACGCATTTCGAGAGTCTCATTTTTCATCTAATGGCCACTGATTTTGGCATGCTTGCGAGCTATCCATGTTAGTTTAAGTCCATCGTCGCATGTTGTTGCATGCCATGTTTGCTTACATGTTTAGGTTGCGCGCCTAGTATACATTGCTCAGTTGCATGTTCATGTATCCTCCATGCCTAGGTTGCATTTCATTTAGCATGCATCCCTTGCCTCTTGATTAATCATGATAGGGGTTAGGGTCCTTTGATGTGTTTTGTGCTTGCATTTCATTTGATATCAAAGTTGCAAAACTTGGCCTCTTAGGCCATCATGCATAATTGATGGCCCGACCGAACTGTATCATGC